TCGCTCCTCCTTTTCCGGGATGTCGGCGAAGAGAAAAGCCGAGGCCATGATCCCGGCCGAGGAGAGCGACCAGCTGTTGATCCGGCCCCTGTGAGTGACAGCGGACGGCGGAGCAGCAGGGCGCTGGCGGGGGAAGGGGGATAGCGGGAGGCGGGAACATGGGGCGGCCGGCGGGGGAGGAGAGTAGCGGGGGGCTGGGGCACTGGCCGGGGAGGGGCAGCGGCAGGAGGGGGCTGGGGCAGCGGCAGGCGGGAGCTGGGGCGCTTGGGGGACAGCGGGAGGCGGGGACATGGAGCAGTTGGAGGCTGGGGCACTGGAGTCCCTTCAGACGTCACCTGCACTAACATGGTGTCGCAGACCTTAAGTTTGTGGCACAGCATTAATGTCGTGTCAGTGTGTCTGGAGTGACTGTCAGAAAATGGGGCAGACCCCCCCCACACACACACACACTGCTGGTATGTTCTATAATTCGTTTTCGCCAAGCCAGTGACAAATGTGAACTCCTGGATCACTCTACCAGTCTTACTATAGCATCACAGACATTCCCCTTAAACTCTCCGGTCTATCTTGCTACCCAGACAAACCGGACTTAGTGATAAGATGGTTACTTACACCAGACATCACATCACATTTAGGTTACTTCCAGTCCCAAGACACCAGTCACTTACTCCAGATCAGTTAGTATCCTAGACCTTACACAAAGAACTAGTTTGGTAGCCCATTCTATAGTAAACTAACTAAAGGTTTATTAGTTAAGAAAAGGAAATGAGAGTTATTGAGAGGTTAAAATAGGTAAAATATATTAACAGATGAGTCACACTTTGTAATTCCAAATGGAGGCAGTGATGCAATAAACTGCCAGTTTACAAAAAGTCTTTTCAGAGTTCCCATATTGTCTCTGGGGATCTCTACTTTGCGTCTGGTATACTTCCCTGTAAGAGTCCAAACAGTCCAGAGAAATAGGATCTTTCCTTGAATACATACTTAAAGCTTCTTCTCACAGAAAACAAGCTGACAGGGTCACTACCCCTGTGGGCTTTTCCTTTGATGACAAAGAGTAAGGAATGCATTTTGAGTCTTTGATCTCCAGTCATCACACACAATGACCACTTGCTTTGAAATTAACACTTTTCTGATAAAATTCTTCATTTGCATTCCACAAGGCTTCTTTCTCGTTTGATGGGTTATTTAGTTACAGGGCTCTACGCAGTGTAAATGATTGCTACTACATTATAACAGGATACAGCTAAGTGAAAACAATGCAAGTAACGTTCCATTAGTTTTCATGAAGTTTAAACAACAAGTACATTCTTTAACAAAATCACTCTGATCTATATTAATACACAAGTGAATTGGCTTGGGGCTCTGGCATGAGCTAACACCTGGTCTGTCAGTGTCACAGTGTCTCCTTCATAATCTAGACTCCCAGGTGTTTCACTCCACAGATCCACTGAAATGTAACCATCACTAAGGCTCCGTGTTTGTCACGGAAGTTACAGATTCTGTGACCTCCGTGACTTCTGCAGCAGCTCGGGCAGCCTCTGGGCATGTCACACTGGCTGCTGCTGGGGCAGTCTTGCATCCCCCTGTCCCCCCCACAGCAGGAGTTTGGTGTGGGGTGGTGCTTACCTGGGGGGAGCTCCTGGAAGGGGGATAGGAACCCCCCTCCCCCTAGCTCCATGTGCTGCCTCCGCCTGAAGGCACCACCCCCGCAGCTCCCATTGGCTGCAGTTCCCAGCCAATGAGTGGCAGTACCGGGGCTTGGGGCAGAGCGGAGGCAGCATGTGGAACTAGGAACTGGGTAGGGAACCTGCCCCAGCACCTGCGGCACCCCCTGGGCCGCGAGTCCCCCACCCCAAACACCTGCGATGCTTCTCCAGCTGTGTCCCACTCCCTAGCACCCAGGCCGTCCCCCACCTGAGCACCTGCAGGCCACACACCCCAAAGCCCCCCCAAGTTTTAGTCAGGGGTATATAGTAAAAGTTATGGACAGGTCACGTGATCTATCCATGACTTTTACTAAAAATACCCATGACTAAAACGTAGTCTTAACCATTACTGGTGTGTGAGGGCAGCAGCTAAGCAAACAGCATGCCGTCCAGCAGTTGCGGAGTGGGGAAAAGAGAGATTGAGGTAAGACTTATATCAGACACAAGTTTAAAGAATCCACGACTCTTTTTAAAGTCCATGTAGAGTAGACAGCACCACTGTTTTTAAAGTCTCCTGTAAAAAGCCCACACACTAACTTCTGATTATGATGGTCCCTTGTGGTCTGAGTCTATGAACTTGTGTGGGACTCACTTTGGGGCTGATCCTGAGTTCTTCCTAGGAGACTCTTGCACCTTCAGCTGCCATTGTCTTCCTACCATTGGATCCTTTCTATCTCAGATAAAAGACTTGTGTCAGGATTTTAAACTGATGGCAAGGAGTCCTAAGTGTTTTGCACTGGTTGCTTAGACTCAGAAGAGATCACCTGCATATAATTTAGTCAGTATAATATTTTTTATGATGCTCCATAAAATGTTTTCAATATGTTATAAAATTAAATATGAAAATAAAAATAGAAATGATATAACTCAAGGAAAAGGCTGCAATATCAGCTTGGTGAGATCCTTGTCCACTTAAGTTTAATGGGCCTGTGCAATGGATTTGTAATAAGATTCAAGTATGGATTAAATTTGAAATAGCTCTTTGTGGGATATTTTTTTAAACTTTTATAAAGCACAGCTTTCTTTCTTTATAACATTTTGCTTTGAGCAATGCCAGAACATTTGGAGATTGGCAGTTGAACACCAACTGTGTATACTCCAAGGCCTTGTTTACACTACAAAGTTTTGTTGGCAAAAGGCAGCTTTGGTCGACAAAACAGTGGAGGTGTATACACTATAATGCCCCTCTTGCTGACAAAACTCTCCTGCTTTGTCAACAAAATAAAACCACCTCAACGAGCGGCGTGGTGCTTTTTGCAGCAAAGTTAGAGCGACAGAGCATCAGTGTAGACACTGCGTTTGTTATGTCGCCATAACTGGCCTCCAGGAGGTATCTCACAACGCTCACTGTGACCGCTCTGCTCACCGTTTCGAACTCCGCTGCCCTGCATCCAGCTGCACACGCATGCGCCCCATCCCTTTCAAAGCCCTAGGAAATTTTGAAATTCCTCAGCATGGAGAGCTCACATAGCCACTGTCCAGCTGAGCATGCTGGCTTCTGGCAGCAAACACACTCCTGCCTGGACTACAGGGGTGGGGGTGGATCTCCTTGGTCTGTGGGAGAACTGTAAGGGAGTCACGGAATCAAAACATTAATGCAGAATCCTGCTTTCCCCGGGACTAGAACCACAGTGGCAGGCAGGGAGGGCTGCTGCAAGGGGTAGCGGGGGAAAGACTGCTGTGCTGTGCAGAGTCAGGGAGGGAGGTGTGGGCTGATGTCGGGGTGTCCACCTCCCCCTACCTGTGTACCATTCTCCTCTGGGGTGGGGAGACGAGGACACCAGCTGTCTGCACCAGCTTCTGCCTCAGGACTGGTTGTTTCTGGCTGCTGTCTGAACTTGGGCTTTGTCACTGGAACCTGAACAACAAAACTTTTGTTGTTCAGAGGTGTAAAAAAGCCACACCCCTGAACGACAGAAGTTTTGCCAACGAAAAGCACCGGTGTGAACAGCGCTTTGTTGCAGGAGAGCTCTACTGCCGACAAAGCTGCCGCCACTCGTTGTGGGTGGAAGTTTTTTGTCGATGGGAGAGCTCTCTCCTGGCAACAAACAGCAGCTACACTGCGCGCCTTTTAGCGGCACGGCTGTAGCGGCACAGCTGTGTTGCTAAAAGGTGCTTAATGTAGACATAGCCTTAGAATCAGCGTGCAGACACATTCACTGTCCCCCAGCACAGAGTCTGTCTCTCTCACACATACACACTCCTCCCCACACACTCTCTGACACACTCCCCTAACACACACACTCTCTCTCTCTCACACTCTTCTCCCTCCTCCCCCCTCCCCCCACTTCTGTGGTCTTGTGTTAGTGTTTAGCAATGTCATTTTGGTCATATTACCGAGTGCTACTTTAAAAAGTGATTTAAAATGTGTTACTGTTCAGGCACACACAGCAATCATTACAAGGTTCATAGCATAGAGCAAACAAACAATGCCGGGCTTAACACACTACGGCAACACATATTACTGTAGCTTAGTGTTAATATGCTCCTTCAAAGCATCCCTCAGCCGAATAGCCCCCCGTTGGGCTCCTCTTATAGCCTTGTGTTCATAACGCACAGCACAATACTGAACAGCAGTGAAGGATCTGTGTTTTCTGACAGAGATGGCTGGGTTGCAGGTAGGGCAGTTGAAAAGCAGCTGGTAATCTAGTAGGATACCCATGGAACAATTGGATTGAGAAAGCCCTTATCATGTGACGCTGTACCTGCCCCCATGAGGCATTGCAAACCTGTCCCAAAGCACCCTGTGGCTAGTTGCACAGTAGGATAGCTACCCACAGTGCTCTGTTTTCTGTCGATGCAAGAGCTGCTATTGTGGATGCACTCCACCAACACAATGAGCATCGTGTGGACATGCAACAGTGGTTTAATTACAGCGGTGGTGGTACGTCGGCGTAATTTGCGTTGACAAAACTCTGTAATGTAGACCAGTGGTTGTCAACCCGGGGTCAGAGATCTTCCAATTGATACATCAACTCATCTAGCTATTTGCCTAGTTTTACAACAGGCTACATAAAAAGCAGTATCGAAGTCAGTACAAACTAATATTTCATACAGATAGACAATGACTTGTTTATACTGCTCTATATACTATACACTGAAATGTAAGTACAATATTTATATTCCAATTGATTTATTTTATAATTATATGGAAAAAATGAGAACGTAAGCAAATTTTCAGTAATAATGGGCTGTGACACTTTTGTATTTTTATGTCTGATTTTGTAAGCAAGTAGTTTTTAAGTGAGGTGAAACATGGCAGTGTGCAAAACAAATCAGAATCCTGAATGAGGTACAGTAGTCTGAAAAGGTTGCGAGCCACTGGTGTAGACAGGACCTAAATGGAAGTGAACTAGTTGAAAGGACTGTAAATGTGTCCTGTTTAAATTTGTTTGCAAACTTTTTAACTTTAACAAAACCTGTTACCATCTGATGGCTGTTTCTTGGCCTGTGTGAAATAGGTTTGGTGGTTTCAGTCCAGTTGCCAGTGAATAGGTATCCACATCACACAAAACACTATCACAGTTGGCACTCTTGGAGTTTCAACAAAGAGACAAGGATTCACACTGAGCTCCCATTACAACCCTTGGGTGCTAAGAGACATTACATGACTTCACTTTCCCTCTCCCTTTTGTTCAGTCGCATTCATTGAAAGGCACTTTGTTTATTTCAGAGGACAGCAGATACAGGTAGCTGCTAATTATTGGTAAAAGAAAGAAGTAAAACTCGGACTTTCAGCAAACATTATGCTAAGGCATGTGAGGCTAGAAAAGAAAAGGTAGTTTCTTTAGAAGAATCCAAAACAAGTCATGTGGGAATAGAGTTCTAGGGGTAGTGAGTTTATTTAACAAAAAAATTATTTTGACTGGTAATTCCTGAAACTACCAAAGGATTTGAAGCAGCTGGTGAGGCTATTGAGCAGTTAAAAGCAAATCTCCCTCAGTCATGCAAGAAATGTTCTGTACAAAATGCATTGTACAAATACATTAACCTACCCTAATCTGGAAAAAAGAAAAGCAGTGACACCTCTCTTATAGAATCGTAAGAATTACTGTACTGCACTGGAACAGACGCAAGGTTCACTGAGTGTCAGTGTCCTGTCTCTGACAGTGGCCAGCACCAGACCAGTCAGAGGAAGGCGTAAGAACTGTACAGCAGAGAGATCTGGAATAATCTGCTCCCCGTGTTAGCTCTTTCCCTGATCACTTAGAAAGAGGCTTAAACCCTGAAGTCTGAGGTTTGATCTCCCTTCCAAAATTGGGTGTTCCTGTTATCCATATAAACATCTGATCCCTTTTTGAATCTTGCCTTTGGATAAGTGATTTCTACAGTAGTGTAACTGGATGACTTTAGATACATCAGGAAACAAGTGCATACTTGTTTAGGCTTCCCCTTTGTAATAATTACATTAATACTGACACTTTAGTTTCTTTAGTAATAAACGAAGAAACAGAAAAAATGTTAGATTTATAATTCAAAACTGCCTCTCAGCATGGAGTGCTGAAAGCTGCAAAATACCATAACTTAAATGGCCTTTCGTAGCAAGGGAGTTTGGGCTGAGGTAACAGTAGAGAAGGAGCAGAGGGATAGGTTGCCCACCCCTACATGGTACTGTCGTCACATGATTGTGCTGAATTTAGTGGCGCATAAGGATCTGAGCTCTCTGTTGCATCACCCTCTGAGAAGCTTGATCTTTCTTTATCAGTTTCTCTGTTCTTACTTGGCATCTATCAATTTTTATGCTCTGGAGGCTTGACCTATGCCACCAAATTGCAAAGATGAACTTGAGAGTAGATAAGTTATGTCACTGCTAAATGACCCAAACTATCTGTATTCATTTATCAGAACAAAGTATATGAATTATTAAAGGGGGTGTGTTTGACAGTGTGGTGAAAAAAATATTTTGGAAATGAGTTAGCTTTCAAAACAAATGTTCTCAGCCCAGTCCTTTTTTCTCACAGTTGAAAGCATTGCACATCTTTAGGGAAGTAAAATCATAGCTGTGTGGGAAAAGGGGAACTATTACTAACACAGAGAGCCCTTTATCGTGGAATTTTCAAAGGCACCTATCGCCACAATATCAAGCATTTCAAAATTTTATATTGTTCTTTACTAGCATAAGCCTGTGTCAAGGGCTGATATATTAGTACAGATTACATTATACAGTACTGAAATGGAATGTCTGAGCCCATCAGAATGCAGGGAGGCTGCATAGCTGTGGATACTTAATGTTTAATTCCCCCCCCAAATTATGCAGTTCCCTGTACGATGTTGTTTCATAGAGTTTAAGGGCAGAGGAGATCATCTAGTATGGCCTGGATAGCACAGACCACTAATTTTTAGCCAGATACCTCTATATTAAGCCCAAGATTTTGTTTTGGGTGTGAGATTTGTACAATGTCGGAATGGTTATTTCTCCCCCATACAGTATGAAAATCTTTGACTGACAACCATTAGCCAATCAGAGTACTGGTATTTGCATAATTGCACAAGTTCTTTCTTATTTTCCTTGCTGTGAATATCCAAAACATGTGAATCTACTTGGGCTATTGTAATCCCTGTCTTTGGGTTGGCTTCCTATTCAGAAGTTTCAAGTTGCTTGTCATCAACAAATATACCACTTCTGTTCTTCACTTTTCTGACAGAAACAGAAAATCTCCCTGTACATGTGAATCTAAAGGGAGTGTGTGGGTAAGAACAGCACACCAAAAGCAAGGAGATGAGGGCTGACACTCCACTGAAAGGGAAAGTGGCTTTAAAACATAGTTTAAATCCCTTATTCATTTTCCTCCTTCCTCTGATTTTTACCCCCTTTCTTTTGTACAGATCCCTGAGACACCTGTTTCGATAATAATGGCCATGTATATGAGTGTTCACTGGCTTTTTTACATTTGGGGAATCCCATCTTTCCTTCCCTAACATAAAAACCTATTGCAATTACTGAGGACAAGCACCTTACTTATCTGTAGGGAAGAAACTGAATGGCAGTGGGGAAAAGAGATGGTGAAAGGAAAAGCAAAAAGAGCTTAATTACTTCAAAACAGTGTACCTTTCAGCAGTTTGACAATTGGTTTTGCTTTTTCTGTTTTTTCTCCTTTCTCTGAAAATTTTGTGTCTAATAAAAGAAATCAGTATAATAACTTGAGGGCATTTCCTGTTAACTCTGAAATAATTCTGTGCTGGGCTAATAGTCTCTGATACCTTAAATTCATTCAACCTAGAATACAGTTGTTCTATTATAAATAGAAAGCACCCTCAAGTTATCAAAATATTTCGGGGGTAAGTTTGCTGTAAGCATTTAAATTGCTTTAGCCCATGTCGGCAACAAGCATTCATTTGCCATCCTAGAGAAAAGATACCAGTCCTTTCCCAAATTTAGGTCTTCTGTACTTTAGTCATGGACAGGATCTCAGTTTCATTGAATGAAATGTCACTGTTCAGTTAGTTTAAATAGTTATTGGCCTTTCATTCTACAGTCGGATTGTTAAACAGTAGAATGTTGAGTTCTGCACATAGGCATCTAAATGCACTTAAAACAGAGATGTAGTTAACTGTGTTTAGATACGGTGGGTGGTTTTTTGTTTTTGCTAACTTTGTCATGGATTTCCTTTCACAGAGGTGCTGGGCAAGAAGTAGGAAGATCATGCATTATTCTGGAGTTTAAAGGAAGAAAAATAATGGTAATTATTTGTAAACACCTGAATTACCAGGGTCTGTTGTAAAAAGCTATTGTGTGTTAAATCCAAGTTCCTCACAAAAGTCTGGTATCGATGTCTGCCTTTCCCTAAACAGGCAAAGTCTCTGGTTCCCAAGAGCAACGTTACCTAGAGGATGTGACCTATTATATGAGATTTTAATTTAGTAATAAAAGATGTGTATAAATCCTGAGAGAAAATTCGGGTATCTATTTATGTATAAGTGTAGGTGATATGCTCACAATCTAGTTTTCAGTGATGTCTGAGCCTAACCTTTACTTTGTTCACACAGTTGTGTGTGTATGCACAGATGCTCTGTTTGCTTTTCCAGCATTAATGCCTGTGTACTCAGGTGATAGAATCCACACATGAAAGGCTGTTCACCTATGCTGTCAACTGTTACTATTGGAAAAGTGTGGCTAGAGGCTCGTGTAGGTACAAAAATGCACATGCAAAGGCTCAGGTCTGGAAAATAGGCTCTCAAAAGGCATTCAGTTTTCCACTGAAGATAAGTCACCTACACAGATACCCTAAAGCAGGAGTGGGCAAACTATGGCCTGGGGGCCATATCCGGCCCTTCAGACATTTTAATCCAGCCCTCGAGCTCCTGCCGGGGAGCAGGGTCCGGGGCTTGCCCCGCTCTATGCGTGCTGTGGCTCTGCGCGGCTCCCGGAAGCAGCAGACTGTCCCACCTCTGGCTCCTATGCATAGGGGCAGCCAGGGGACTCTGCATGCTTCCCCTGTCCCAAGCGCCGCCCCCGCAGCTCCCACTGGCCAGGAACCTTGGCCAATGGGAGCTGCGGGGCGGCGCCTGAGGACGGGGCAGCGCACAGAACTGGCTGGCTACGCCTCCGCGTAGGAGCCGGAGGAGGGGCATGCCACTGCTTCCGGGAGCTGCTTGAGGTAAGCACTGCCCAGAGCCTGCACCCCTTACCCCCTCTTGCACCCCAACCCCCTGCCCTAGCACTGATCCCCTTCCTGCTCCCTGAGCCCCTCGATACCAGCCCAGAACACCTCCCTGCATCCTCAGCCCCACCCCAGAGCCCGCACTCCCAGTTGGAGCCCTCACCCCCCTCCCTCCCCACACCCAACCCCCTGCCTTAGTCTGGAGCCCCCTTCCACACCCTGAACTCCTCATTTCTGGCCCCACCCCAGAGCCCTCATCCCCTCCTGCACCCCAACCCCCAATTTTGTGAGCATTCATGGCCCGCCATACAATTTCCATACCCAGATGTGGTCCTCGGGCCAAAAAGTTTGCCCAACCCTGCCCTAGAGTCTAGCTTGGAGTCTAATATATCACAATGTGTCAAAAACTGTGAATAAACAAAATGAATTTTTCCCGCATGACACTCGCTTGTAATGATGCCATAAATTTGTGTGTGCTTATTCATTTTTATAGGTTTTGAGAAGGAGTTTTAATTATTTTTCATCACTTTTCAGCTTGATTGTGGAATTCACCCTGGCCTAGAAGGAATGGATGCCCTACCTTACATTGACTTGATAGATCCTGCTGAGATTGATCTCCTCTTAATCAGTCAGTAAGTTGCATTTAGAACAAGAATTAATGCTTGCTTTGAGTTCTTGCTCTAAGCCTTGTTGACTTCCAACTTTTAAGAAAGGTTGGGGCCAGATGTCATCCAGACACTATTGGTGTGATGAAAGGACAGTAGTTCCCAATATTTGTGTAGTGTGAACTGTTGCCTAATCTGCTGATTGCATATTGATTATATTACTGATTTAGTTTCCCCAGTTAGCAGTCTGAAATTTGGCTGGTTCTTGTCCCAAGATCAGACCCAGTATTATCAGAATTAGTATTCAGTTGGGAGCCTTGACGTACAGTTACAACACTCACACTTAGGAAATCACACTATATTTATAATAGTTTTATTAATACAATTAGCAACTTCACAAACACCCAGCCCAGCAAAGCAGGTAGAGATCATACAGAATGAGCTGAGCATCCATAGGCTTACACCATCTCTTGCAAAACAACTTGAAGTGTTAGTTATCTTCCTCATCTTTCCCCTCACCATCATCAGTGGTTGTCATCCTGGCATCTCCCCAGGTACACGGGCTGGGATACAGCTTTTATAATGTGTTCTATTGAGACCACTGTGCTTAATGCATGTTCTATAGGGATTTCAGTCCCTTTTCCTTATTTATAGTTCCTCTCCCTACTAATATTGGGGTGCCCTTCTCTATAGGTTATTAATCCTTTTACATCAAGCTTATTAGCATATATGTCAATTAATTACCATGGCATTCTTGTGGTCAGACATCTGCTGATGTCCCTACCTAAAAATATTCCGGGGTGGTATAAACTGGCATCCTGTGATTACCTATCAGCAGTTTAGTCATCACAGCATTCCATCTTATATTTTATGATCTAGGGTTACTCTTGCTTAGCTACTTATGCTAAGGCTTTTTGGGCCTTATGCCTTAATTAGTTTAGCTAAATTATTGTCTTACTGGCCGTGAGGCTTGCAAGCTTATTGGTTTATTGCCTTAATTTATACCTATGGCTCACCCAGGAAATACCTGTAGGCTACAAAACTACTACTTAATGTCATGGCACTCCTCCATGCCCATTGTGACCTCGTGGCCACCCTCCTCTCCCTTTCGTGATTACATAACATCACTGTGTCAACTTCAGCAATTGTTTATGTGTAAAAGAAATATTAGGAAAGTATTTATTGTATTTTTAGCTGTTTTTAATGGGAGTTGGATCACGAGTTGAGAAGACACCCATTGACTTAAAAGGGTGTTAGATTGGGCTGATAATATGACTTAGCACCTGGAAACAAGGATAGTCAGCCCTGTGTGACCAGTTAGCTCTCCATGGACCACCAGTGCCCCACAGACCAGAGTTTGAGAAATGCTGATACAGGGGTTACAGAGGCATTCACTCAGATACTTTATGTATGGTAATTAAAATGCACTTGTTGCACCTTTATCTCAAAACCACTGTTTTAAAATTAGCATCATTAGTAGGAATGACCAAATTGTTATCTAGTATACTACTAAAAACATATTTTAGTCGTTCACTTCTAATCTGTGGTGGCCCACGTGCCAACTTTGGGGCCACTGCTGTTAGCTTTATTCTGTCGTCCTTTCTCTGTGTGTGTGAAGTTCATTCTCTTCCTTCCCATTATCAGTCCTTTTTCTTTACTTGCAAAAAACCCATAATTGTAAGGTTCTATAGGTAAAATTTATCAAGAAATGCAGATGTTAAAATGCAAAAGTTAACTTTTCTCTATTGCATTTTAATGTATCAATCTTAATATCTTAGAATATACAGAATGCATAATGCAGCCCAGTTAACACTGCTGATGAAACCCTAATTCCTGTGTTTCCTGATTTGTGTAACATTGCATTAATGTAGTAAATTAGTGAATGGTTTAGCATTTAAAAAAGATGGTTGAAATCCTACTCAGAGGAGGTATCAATGGTTCGCTGTCAAACTGAGATGTTGCATCTAATGGGGTCCTGCAGGGGTCAGTCCTGAGTCCAGTACTAGTCAAAATTTCATGACTTGGACAATGGAGAGGATGCTTATAAAATTTGCAGATGACACCAAGATGGGAGGGGTCGCAAGCACTCTGGAGGGCAGGATTAGAATTGAAAACGACCTTGACAAAATGGAGGATTGGTCTGAATTCAACAAGATGAAATTCAATAAAGACAAAGTACTCTGTACTCTGTACAAAGTACTCTGCGCTTAGGAGAAAAAAATCAAATGCAAAACTCCAAATTGGGAATAACTGGCTAGGCAGTAGTACTGCTGAAAAGGATCTCAGGGATTACAGGAGATCAGAAATTTAACAGGAGTGATGCAATTGTGAAAAAGACTAATATTATTTGGGGGGTATATTTAACAGAAGTGTTGCATGTTAGAGATGGAAGGTAATTGTCCCGCTGTACTCGGCACTGGTGAGGCCTCAGCTGGAGCACTGTGTCCAGTTCTGGGCATCACACTTTAGGAAAGTTGTGGACAAATTGGAAAGAGTCCAGAGGAGAGCAACAAAAATGATAAAAGATTTAGCAAACCTGAGCTCTGAGGAAAGATTTAAAAACCCGGGCATCTTTAGTCTTGAGAAAAGAAGACTGGGGGAGGGGAGAATCTGATAATAGTCTTCGAATATATTAAGTGCTGTTATAAAAAGAAGTGTGATCAATTGTTCTCCATACCTATGAAGGTAGGACAAAAAGTAACCAGTTTAATCTGCATCAAGGGATAGTTAGGTTAAATATTAGGAAAAAAATTCTAACTGTATGGGTAGTTAAGTTCTGGAACAGGCTTCCAAGGAAGGTTGTGGAATCCCCATTATTGGAGGCTTTTAAGAACAGGTTAGACAAACACCTCTCAGGGATGGTCTAGCTTTACTTGGTCCTGCCTCAGTGTAGGGGGCTGGACTTGATGACCTCCCAAGGTCCCTCCCAAACCTACATTTCTATGGTTCTGTGAGTTGTATTATGTGATATTAATGTATTAACTGTATTCATTTGTCCGTTTTAAGTTTCCATTTGGATCACTGTGGGGCTTTACCATGGTTTCTGCAGAAGACCAGTTTCAAAGGAAGAACATTTATGACTCATGCTACAAAAGCTATTTACAGGTGGCTCCTTTCAGATTACGTCAAGGTTAGGTAAGTGGACACACTGGTTGTTTTTATAACTCCCTCCTGAATTACTGCTCCTGTCTGTCCAGTGGGGGAAGTGTGTGAGAAATGATGCAATGACTTGGGGGGCTTTGAATGCAGTTTGTTATATCTTATATTTTTAAAAGACCACTGTCAGTTTAATAATCATATGTAATTTTCTTTAAAAGTTCACTTACTTAGGTTACTAATAACATTTAATTTATAGCATTAAAAATGAAGGAAAATACATCGAATTTACTTTTAATTATTTGTCATGTTTACTTTTTGCATTTCCTGAAGCTCTGATAAATGGAAGTAGACAAGTTAATTTCTAGTCAATTTCACTTTTAGGTGATAATGTTTGGGCTGCAAACATGAAAGGGGAATTTTGTTTGTTTATTTACTTTTTTTAAAAACCCACAAAAATCAAATTGTGTAAAAGTCCAGTGGAAATACAAGTTTATGGAAACATTTCCTTTGATCTTATAAGATGGTTTGTATAAAACCTCGACTTTTTTTGGTCCAAATTTGAACCTTTCGGCTATTTTCATAGTTTGAGATTAACAGTGAGCATGGTATTATATTTATTATATTAAATTATACATTTCAAATGTTAACTATATTGGTATTGTGTTCAAGTATATAGGATAGTTCCTTTTGGTCTAACTCCCATTCCCCAAACATATATTGCCTGAACTGTGTGTTGGGTGAGATTATTAGTAGGTAAGTCTATAGTTTATTTTTGCTCTCTTCCAGAGGCATTCATTCCCTGAAAGGTCAAACAGTAATTGTCCCTTTGCATTACTGTAATAATTATTATATAATGTCAAAAGTAAACATTAATAGAGATGAGATTGTGTCCCCGACCTGTATGCAAAATTTTACGGTGCTTTGCATATATAAGCATGTTAAGTGGCTGTAGTAGGGGAGTCTGTGGAAGCAAAGTATTTGTTTGCAGAAAGTGTTAAGCAGCTTCTTGCCTGAAGGAGGTAATATAGCAGCTTTAAAAATTTTGGATTTACCTCTTGGTGGCAGGAATTATGGGAAAGAGATACAAATTTTGGGAAAGTGGTCCTGTAATCCTTATCTAATATACTTTACTCTGAGCCCCACCTCCTGTGGCTACAGCTTGTGAGTCACTTAAGTGGAATACATGTCTGCAACTACTCAACGAAGAAGAAACTCTTACTTACTGTAACTGTAGTTCTTCGAGATGTGATGCAGACATGTATTCCACAGCAGCAGATGGACATATCGTTGTGGACTGACCACCACTGTAAGGAGTTGAACACCTGTGTCGGTACCTGTACTTGATCTTTCATTTGTTCCAGACCCTTAATATAAAGGCTTGAAAGATGTCTGATCTGTGACTGTGCCCAGGAAGTGATCCCTATGCATGAGACCTGGAGTCCTAGCAGTTGGCGGTATAATTCTATGATGGATCTCCTGTGGCTCTGGAGCAAGATGATAATTCCTGGATTTTCTGAAACCTTTCTAATAATGGGTAGATCCTTGCTATCGAGGTGGCTATTTCTGCCACTAGGCGGTTTATTCTGGTGGACGGAACCAGGGAACTTTTCTTGGCATTGATGAGGAAGCCATGCACCTGGAGGAGACTTGATTCGCTGAATATGCAGTCTTTATTCAAAGACAGGGCGATCCCCTGACGGTTTATAATGTTCCTTTTTACTTCCAAATGGTTTTGATTGTTTGAAGTTGTCTTTGATAGTTTTCCATTGACTATTCTGAGATGCAATGAGGGTTGAGAATTAAACCTTGTATTTCATCACTGGCTGATCGGAGAGAGGTGAAAACTCCCTCATACTTGAATGGGCCAGGACTGAGATATATGATTCCTGGTGACTAACTTTTGTTCCAAGACCATAAGGTATAATTTTCAATATAGTTACATTATTCCTTAGATATTACACTTGCACAAATCTTGCAATGATTATGAGTATTGATAAATTACAAGCTTTCAGGAGAGATCTCACATGCTACTTTTCATAGCTAAATACCATGGAAATGATATATTAGGTGTAGTGAGTTTGTCAGGTCTGAGATGGGAGTTGCTTATAAAGAACCCTTTGTATGTTAACACCAGTGGGCCTCTGTGTCCCAAGTAGAACCTGAAGAACATTTATTTTGGGAAACCCCCTTTAACACTGCCATATCCAGAAGATGAGACATTTCATTCTTGATCAGATTGTGTTTTACTGCATTGTTGGAATTGGGTGATTGGATGAAGAACCATTGGACTGGAGCCCACAGCTTGGGGGAATATCCCTGGCTCATTATCTTCCTTACTCATTTTTCTGTGGTCGATGAGCCATTCCTCTAGGAAATGTGAAATTCTGTCCCCTAGCTTCAGTTCTGGACAGAGGCCTACACAATCTCAGTCATAAAGTGGATTGGGTGGGTGAGCGGCCGAGGTCCCTCTGGGCTTCCCCCTGGATCTCGATTCTACTGTGTTTTCCCTTGGAGAATCTGTTGTCTCTTTGCTGGTACCGGTGTGGCTGTCCCTTCACTGTTACAAAGAGTGAAAGGAGTGCATGTGTCTGAAAGCCGATTAATGTACTCTCTCCTTAGGGCACTTAATGGGGCAGGGTGAGATTTTGCTGCACTGTCAGCCACCTCCTTCTCCAGCCTTTCTCCAAAAATGAGGGAACCTGTCAACTTGGCCAAGCATAGAACCTGCCTAGAGTGAGTGTGCACTTTCTAGGGACAGAGCCCTAGGTGGCATCTAGTTACACTAAAAGCCATGGCTCGGGCTGAGAACCCCATTGCATCTATTGAGGCATCAGCTACAAAAGCTGTTGTTCAGGAGACTTTCTTTAAAATTGAACCAAAGTCAGGGTGATCTCTTCCTTTAAGGGTTTTGAGATCTTCCAGCTAGGAAAGATGCTCCTGCAAAGCAGGGAACTGCCAGAGACACTCAGACGGTGGTGGAGGAGTCTTCAAAGTCATTTTGAGAGTAGCCTCCATCTTTCTGTCTGTGGTGTCCTTAGTATAGAACTCCCCCTCTGAAAGAATAACCATATCTCTGGCGAGGGACTCTGCGGCAGGTCAGCCTTCGGTATCAGCAATAGATCCCTTTTGGTTCTTGAATGTTATGGAGCCTGAAGTTGCTCTTGTTAATGCGCTTGCCCTTATAAGGCTTGTTCCACTCATCCCTAATCACTTCCTTGAAGAAGGAGTTAAGGGGTATCACCACCTCAGGGGTGGATTTTGAGGGGACCTATTTACTCTGAGGCTTACTCTCAAGAGCCTGCTCAGGTTGGATTTGAATTGTGGAAACAACCTTGTTGCACATAGCTTGAAATTTCTGAGGGGAGAAAAAACTTTGCTGCATTTTCCACCCATCCTGTTCACATTCAGAGCCAGACAGCTCACCTGCCTCGGTGCCCTGAGTCAAGTTGTCGGCGTCTCGTCACTTTTTGAAGCCTCTTCCTGGTCTGCACTGGGGTTCCTGGTCCATTCTTCCCCCACTGGAGTTGTGACTGCCTAGGTGGATAGGGGACTCCACCTGCCTGTTTGACTTGCAGCCCTAGGACCGGTTGGCTGGATGCAAGCTGTGCACAACTCACTCTCTGCCAAAACTAGGAAATTCACAAATAGAACACTGCTTGGATCTAATCTTGTGTTTTCTTGGCTGCTCTGCCATGCCTTCAAGGGGCAGAGGAGCTGGACAGGGCGGTGCTACAGCAGAGGCTCAGAGAGAATTAAAACCCTGAGGGAGGAGGACGAATGTCGGAGAGGGAGAACGTTGTTCTCCGCTGCTCAAAAACTGGGCAGAAGCAGCTCAAATTGAAAAAGAGCGGGATCAATAGCGACCACCACTGTCTGCTGTCATAGAGGCAGAGAAACTGGTGGCAAGTGGGAGCAAAGAGGGTCTGGCCAGTGCGTGGTGCCAAAATGCTGATCTGCCTCCATGAAGTTGCAGACAGAGGAGAGCAGCCCTGATGTCCAGGATTGTGGGAGACACTGGGCTGCTTGGTTACATGCATATATTTGTTCCTCCTTTCTTCATTATTCTTGTGTATCTTGGGAGAGGAACCATCTTTTTTTTTATGACGTTAACAGCCCTGAACATAATTTGGGAGTTCAACAAATATTAATTGTACATTTTACAATTTCACCAGATAGTTTAATTTTAAAACACAAAAGGTCAGTTAGGGAAAAAAGCTTAATGGACCAGTGTATTATGAGAGAGAAGGTGGGTGAGATAATATCTTTTATCTTCTGTTGGTGAAAGGTCAGATATTGTATCTCTATCACTCCTAATCCTCAAAGGAAACCTGCACAACACTTTCAAAAGACTAGGCTGCGAGCTTAAATTCATAACTCTGCTAGACACTAAAAATCATGGACTGAATAGAGACATTGGATTTATGGCTTATTGCAACAATCTGTAACCCACTAGCCCCCTCCTCTTTATCTTATGACAGCAGAGGTGCTAACGAGCCACTCTGTCTTAGGGCAAGTCTACACTACAGCAGGGATCGAGCTCTGAGATCAATCCACTGGTGATCGATTTAGCAGGTCTAATAAAGCCCCGCCAAATCGACTGCAGATCGCTCTCCAGTTGACCCCTGTACTCTACCCTTGACAAAAAGAGTAAGGTAAGTCGACAGGAGATTTTCTCCCATCGATCCCCCGCGGTGTAGACCCCGCGGTAACTCGACCTAAGTTATGTAGACTCCAGCCACATTATTCACGTGCTGGAATTGTGTAGAGTAGGTAGACTTACCGCAGTAGTGTAGACATAGCATTAGAATGGTGCCTTGGAATGTGAGGAAGAGAGCCTAAAACACTAACCACCTATGCTAAACAATCTGTTCCACCTTGCATTTAGCTGTGAAGCTTGGAGAACCTTTCCCAGCCCTGTAGAAGAGCTCTGTGTGTCTCAAAAGCTTGTCTTTCTCTCCAACATAGGTTGGTCCAATAAAAGATATTTTCTCATCCATCTGGTCTCTAATATCCTGGGACTGACAGGGCTACAACTATGCTGCATACAATGTATTATGAATCGTAAGACTAATATTATACAATGGTATTTACATGAATGACAGAATCTGAATCTGGGAAATACGTCATAATTAATGTATGCTAACTATCCTCCACATAGATTTAGCTAAGCAGTATGTGGTATCCCACTCCACACTGGGATCAGATGTATGATAGATATAGCTATCATTAAGTGCAGTTTTTGCTAACAGGCATAGACAGGCTTTTTTGTGTGTGAAAACTGTGTTATGATCTGGTTACTAAAGCAAGCTATAAGTTATATTTTTATTACACCCCTACCCCGATATAACGCGACCCGATATAATATGAATTCGGATCTAATGCGGTAAAGCAGTGCTCCAAGGGGGCGGGGCTGTGCATTCCGGTGGATCAAAGCAAGTTCAATATAACATGGTTTCACCTATTACGCGGTAAGATTTTTTGGCTCCTGAGGACAGCGTTATATCGAGATAGAGGTGTATTTGTATTAAAGTAGTGCCCATTGGGAACCCATTGTGCTGGTAGTACAAGACACTGCCTTGCATGAAAAAGGTAGTTTAATGTGGCCTTTCTGAATATATGACCTGTTCATACTGGTTAGGGAAATAGTGTTAGAAACCATGGCTCTAGCTGGTTCAATATTTTTAATTTGGAAGGAATCTGCAATTTTGAATGGGGATCTTGAGTTACAAAATCTATCGAAGGAGCACATCTGTAATTATTCTGTAAAGTAAACCGGTGAAACTAGCTGATACTTGGCCATTTCATTTTTATACAGCAATATTTCAGCAGATGACATGCTGTACACGGAGACAGATCTGGAAGAAAGCATGGACAAAATTGAAACCATCAACTTTCATGAAGTAAAAGAGGTGGCAGGAATCAAGTTCTGGTGTTACCACGCGGGCCACGTCCTGGGAGCAGCCATGTTTATGATTGAAATAGCTGGTGTGAAGGTATTTTTTTAGTATAGAGCAGTAACTCCTTGTCAAAAAAATTTATTATTAGTTTTTAAGCATTGGCAATGAGTTCAGAGCTCAAAATATGAAAATAGGCAAGAAACCTCAAACCAAGCACACTGGAAGACCCAGAAGGAGGCTTTGTTTTGAAGTATTATTTTTAATCAGTTATAGCTGGTGAGTGACAGCAGTTTTATTTAAGTGAGATAGTATATGTGGGCTTCGTGGAAGAGGTGAGTTTTAAGTATGTGGTCTAAGCTTGGAATGACTTAGCACAGAGATTACCAAACTGGTCTGCTGAGAGCTGGCTGATCACCTGTTGCTAGCTGTCCTTGCATCCAGTAGTTAAATTGCATTAAAAGGTAACTTAATCCATAAATACTTTACTTTCCCATATCTGTCTGTCTATCTAGGAACTTCACTAGCCTCCATCACCATAGTACTATAGTGCCTCACATTAATTAATTAATCTTCACAACACCCTTGTGAGGTAGGGAAATATTCTTTTTCCCATTTTTATGTACAGGGAGCTGAAGCACAGAAAAATTAAATAATTTGTCCAAGGTTATACAACAAGTCTGTGGCCGAATCAGATGTCAAGCAGAGATTTGTGAGTCCCAGTTCAGTATCTGGACAGGAAAACCAATCTTCCTCCCTATAAGCAATTTCTAAAATGTCCACAGGCACACTAAGAAGTGATCACAAATGGGAGAGGAAATGTTTTGTGTAGTTGCAAATGGAAGGTGGTGATCCACAAGGTAATTTCCCTATTAAGATATAGTTTACATTATGAAAGTTTGAAAACCTATGGCTTAGCAAGATTCAGAAAGGGTTAAGAACATATATTGAGAAGACTCTGGTTAAATAGCTAGAATAAAAATGAGAAGAGATAGTGGTCTTCTTGCTGATCATCACTTGGTGGGGGAAGAAACAGCCTTTCTTCTGTTGTGTGTATTGCTCAAATTATTATTTTTTATATGCATTATGTTCTGTGCTTTCTCTTGAAGCATGTGGTATAGGCTACAGGATAGCAAGCTACACAGACCATTTATCTTTTCCACTGCTGGTCATCTGTGTTCTTATTCAAGCTTTTGAGCATGATTTGTATTTAAACTCTCTTCAAATGAGTGATTGTAGGATACAGCATGTTGAAGTTATGAAGTGAAAATCCTGTAATTCACTCTGTTTGGGGCTCAATTTGCCCTTCACTATGCAGTTAGGAATTGATCTGAGAGGGACCAATGAATTGGAGAGCAGGATAAAGACCTTAGAGAAAGCATTTTAAATTATGGGTTTTCCTTTAAAAATAAGTGTGCAGTTTTCTCAGTTTAAAGTAATAATGTGGAAATATCAGTCTTTAGTACAACATAAGCTAATTAAAATAGTTCCTGTTGAGGGTTGTTCATTATGCTGATATTCTCAAATGGAAGCTCTTGAGTTTTTTAAGTTTTTAATGGCTTGTGTACTGGTGCAAAACTCTAAAAATGTCACTTTTGTAACAGAAAGGAGGAACTACAAAAATGTTGATACTTATGTTTATAGCTACGTATATATACTGCTTGAAATCTTTCAGTCATTGCAATTAGGATTTGTTTATTGTCTTCATAATAAAACATATAAGCACAATGTATTTATCAAAGCAGTCTTCAATACATTCAAAACATTTGAACCTTTTATTATAAATCCTTGAATAGTAGCTTTGCTAAAATATTAAACTTTTCCTCTACAAAACATGTTGTTAATATATTTTTGCTGACTTAGTCATTCTGTCTCATTACATATCTATTATTTTTCTTTCTCTGTCACAGCTTTTATATACAGGTGATTTCTCAAGACAGGAAGACAGACACCTGATGGCAGCTGAGATTCCTAATATTAAACCTGATATTCTTATCATTGTAAGTTTCGCACTGTGATTTCTTTAAATTAGTAGTTGGGAGTGTCTAGAAGGAATTACGAAGATCTGAAGTGAGTGTCAAAATAAAGGTAGAAGCTTGATGGTGACATGTAACTTTAGCAATGTGCATTATGTGTCCCTTACAGCCAGGCTGCAGGGGAAATCCAATACAGTATTTAGCATATAATAACTTCTGTATAGTGTGTTTCAGGCCAGTGTCAAAGCACTGTCCAAAGCTCTGTGTCACTTCTCTAACCTGTGTAAGCCCCAACTTTGTCCCAGAGGTGTGCTCAGAAACCTGCTAGAACAGGAGTAGCACAAGAAGGAAGTCATTCCAACCACAACAGTTGAAGCTACAGCAGGGAATATGGGCAGTACACAGATTAATACCCCTTTTCTTGCAAGAAGTGTTGAGGGACTTTTAATGAATACACATAGAAAAGACCTTGTTTTTACACCTCTGCAAGAGAGCATCTCCAGCATCATAGTGCCTCCTACCAGCATAATGTTGCATTGGTTCAGTGTTGATTCAAAGAAAAGAGTGGAATCTGGTACTTTACCTTTGGGATTACATATAGATTCTGTCGACAGTTTATAGTTAGGGCCCTACCAATTTCACAGCTGTGAAAAATGTGTCAAGGACTGTGAAATAAGCCCTTCCCCATGAAATCTGATCTCCTCCTTGCTGCTGGGAGCGCCCCAACCAGGGGGCTCCTAGCTGTGAGTCCTTGCAGGGCTGAGGAGGACAGGACTTATCTTTTTCTTGCATGGCAGCTGAGAGGGAGAGGGAGATCAGACCCACCTCCGAGTGCCTGCTCCTGCTGCAGGAAGCTCCCTGCCCAGATCCGGAGGCTCCTGCAGCTGGAGGAAACTTGTGGAGGTGGGTACGATCTCCCCCTGCTCCTGGAGGCGCCCCAGCCAGAGGGCTCCTGGCTGTGAGTACCTGCTGGGCTGGAGGCAGGGCAGGACTTGTCCTTCGTTTGCATGGCAGCTCTGGGGTTGTGGAAAGAGGGGGGGGGGAGATCAGACCCACTTCCAGGTACCTTTTGGGTTGGGAACCCCACAATTATAACACTGAAATTTCAGATGTAAACAGCTGCAAACGTAAAATTGACCAATTTTACAACCCTCTGGCTATGAAATTGATCAAAATGGACCATGACTTTGTTAGGGGCCCTATTTATAGTGTTATGAGCTGCCTTTCTGCTGAAGAAATACCTTAAGGCTCCAGACTGAGACCTTGTCTAGACTGTGGATTTGCCCTGATTTCAGCCACTGGCGTAGCTGCATTCTTACAACTCTTAGTTTGTGCTGGTGGAGTTTATCCTAGTTTCAGGCAGGGTAAAGAGCAGCTTTGCCTGTCTACACTAGGGATTTTCACTGGTGAAGCTGCATTGGTGGCTGGCCACAAATGGCTGAAATCAGGGCAAATCCCTAATGCAGACAAGGCTTTAAAGAAAGGGAGGGTGGGTCACCTCAGTGCACCAAAGTACAGCTCTGGCTACCAAGTCAGGTTCTTCTGCTGTTGTAGTTTTGTCTCTGAGAGTCAACAATGCTTGTGTATTTGTTTTACACATTCGGATGAGCATTTCTGGTTTGGGAAAAGCAGCATTTAAAAAACAACCCTGAGAATAGTATCAAAATGCTAGTCTTCTCTCTGCTGCCAGAGTCTGTCCTTACAAACAGCCTCTGTTTTCACAGCAATTTTCTAGTTGTTGTTGTTTTTTAAAGCAAACTTAGTACCTGAATTCAATGCACTCGTTCTTCCTACAATTCATGTCTTGAGCAAAATCAAATGAGGCTCATATATGTGATGCATTTACAGTAGGATGGAAGAATTAACTGTGAATAGAAGTTCTGTTTCAATAAGATAACCTCAATATTCTGGTCAGCATTTTCTTGTTGACTTCAGAGAAGAGTATAATACAGTGGTAGGCAAACTGCGGTCTATATATGGCCCATCAGGGTAATCTGATTGCGGGCCATGAGACGTTGACTGTCCGCAGGCATGGCCCCCCGCAGCTCCCAGTGGCCGCGGTTCGCCATTGTTTTAATAATAGCTCTGTATGTACTTTACTACTTAGGAATCCACCTATGGTACCCATATTCATGAAAAAAGGGAAGAGCGAGAAGCAAGATTCTGTAACACTGTTCATGATATTGTAAACAGAGGAGGTAGAGGTCTTATTCCCGTCTTTGCCTTGGGTCGCGCTCAAGAGCTGCTTTTGATCTTAGGTATGTATCTTCACATCATTTAACACTGAATGAGCAAAATACAGTGGAAATTTTTTAATGGCTGTCCTTTTATGTACAATAAGTTTGTATGTATTTATTTATTTAAACAAGTCTTTCAACACCTTTGCAGTGAGCTAATGACTTAAAAATCCCAGGGTGACTTGATTTAAATCAAGGTGACTTAAATCACCAAATGGAAAGCCTGGATTTAAATAATTGATTTTAATCAACTTTTCCATTTGTACTTCAATTAGTGTCTAAAGAAAGGTGCATTCTCATTCGTTGACGTACCCATTAAAGCATGTTGATTTGCAACTAAATAGATCCTTTGCACAAGATTTGGAACATCTTTTTACTACAAAAGACTGTATACTATATCATTACTTAAGCAAATATATATTTTAATATTTTCTGATTCTTATTAATTGTATATTTTTAGTATGTTAGAAAATTGTGAATGATGTATTACTTATTTACTAGATAACTAGCCTTTTGGTCATGTTTTGTGTCAAACTGCATTAGGATTGTAATTAGAATTTAATTAAACACACAAAACAGCATATAAAATGTATTTGTATTAAACAAAACAACCTTTAATGTTTTGGATACATAAACTTCTCTTATCAAGACATATTTCACATTTACAACTAATGAGTTATTAAAGAAACAGGGATTCTGTAGCCAGTGAACTAAACTGATTATTTCAGAACACCCTGGGAAATTTTTCAAATAGGCCTAAATGCAAGTTACTGGAGCTTAACTTCCTACTCATCTACGTCCCTTAAAAATGAGACAAGTCACTTAAGTTATGTCAAAGTTAGACTCAGGACTCACAGTTTGTCAGACCACTCTGTTTTATTAGCACAGTGCTCTGCTAATAACACCCAGATAATCTGAGCACCATCCAAGACCCACACTACCTTATTTTATACAGATAAAAAGGGCGCGAACTTAACAATAGAACAAAGCGGGAACATGAGATTGATTTTTCTATTTGATCCCAGTCGAGAAAAAATTCATATCCCCATACCCGGCCCGCCACTCTTTAGTTTTGTTCGAATAATCCCATACACCATTGGCCTCAATATGCTGACGGCAACGGCTTTTTTCCCAGATCCAGCCCTGTCCCATTACACACCCAACACCAATGACCTTTTCCCTCCACCACACTTATCCATTTAGATACATTTATTCCCACTGCTTCCCAAGTGTCATTGCTGTTCCACGTTTTGTTAAACGGGCGAGGTCCTCCAGTGAGGTCTGGGGAGTTGAGTGGGGTTGCCAGGACAGGAACTGCAGTTTGAGAGTGTGCTGGGATGTGGCTGCAGACCCAGCATTTAGAAATATTAAGGGTCTGAGCTATCCACACTTGCTGCTGGATAAAAGAATTGTCATCGTGGACTCCCCAGACCTTAAGACACCGGCAGCCGAGGAACAAGCGCCACCAGAGGCGCATGTTGGAGGCAAGTCCCTTCTGGTTCTGACAACCTCAACTGAGGGAACCACAGTCACCGTTTTACGTCCACCAGGCAGCAGGCGCTAGGTTCGCTACTGCTTCTTTTTGGGCCTTGCTTTAGGTCATCGTCTGCTTCTGGCAACCCTTATGAGAGCGTAGATTGTAAGGTATTGCAGGCTGTTCCTCTATGTCTTCTTCTGGAGTCAAAATTGACTCTGCGTGGTCCTGAGGTGATGATTGGTTCGCTGGGGGTGGTGCCTTCTTACACTGCAAAGCATGTATCCACGCTGCTTTGCCAGACAGTTTAACAGCCGTCTGGGTAGTAAGCAGTACCTGATGATTCTTTGATGTCCTTTAAGTCTCTTTACTACTTCTTCCTTGACTCTGGCTATAACAATGGCCTTCACACCTTATCTTTTCCTGATGCATACATTCCTCATTCACACAGATTGAGAATACAAACAGTAGTATTTTATATCGAGCAAAAAGGCATTGCAAATTAAACCTTGCTAAGTTTTACAATCAATAACTAAGACAATTTACATTGAGACCCAGGCCTTCAATGTTCCTCTAATCTACTTAACATAGACACAGTAGAGAATCCTGTCTCTTACTTACTAAACCTTAAAACAAAGAAATGTATATTTAACTAGAGTGCCTACTTTGTAATACATATAGGAAACCATAGTAGACATTATAACTTATCCTAAAACAAAAGGGTGACCATAATCAGTCATAAGGATTGTTTTGGTCTGTCATTCCTTTCTGCTATTCAAAAAGGGTGGCTGACAGGATGAAATCAAATCATATATTAATTCTCATAGTACATTATAAAATCCAGCTCCTACATATCCCCCTTTTGACACTAAGATTATTAATCGCCAGTGTCACTTCTTATTTAGTTCGCGTAATAGAAAATACTGGGAGGTGATTTGGGCCAGTGGCTCTAGCTTTGCATACATTTATTTTATCCAACAGCACATTTCAAACATTCCAATTAAACACATACAATTTAAAACCAAAAACAATTAGGGTTAGTAACATTAGTATGCCAGTAGTTGTGGGAGAGCATTCAGAAAATATGTTACACCAATGTCTTTCTGCAGTGGCAATTCTTAACATGTTCCCATTTGCGTGTATAATATGAATGGTTCGGTTTTCCACATTGCCTTCTTGTTTTGTTTTGTTTTTTTCTAGGAACTATGTTACCTTTTTACCTTTTAACAGATGATTGGTAACTTTCTGCCATTCAATGCCAAGATTGATAGAGAACTCAGCTAAATCAGTGCTTACAGTAAGCTGAGATTTTGGATTCAAAGCCATCAGCAGACACAATTAACTTTTACCAGAGTTTTGATTACTTTTAACTCTTGCTTTCAAAACACACAGAGATCTGAAAAAGAGAAAACAATCTATTGTGGCTCCATTGGAGCCCTGATAGGATTTTAATTAAGTAGCATGTTTCGTTTGCATTTCTTTCACCCCTTCTATAATATACACTGCACATGTCCTGGGGAAAATGCACATTCCTTCTATAGTTTAACTTTTATACATATCAATCATGTACCCTTATCGAAGTGACAGTCTGATTACACAGAGCCATCCCAAGGCTCAGTGTTTCTTTCTTTTTTTTTTTTTTATACCTCTTTTCTCTTCTTTTTTTTTACAAAAAAAACAAACAAAAATAATTCAGAATCTCTTCCTATTCTCCTGATTTTGACTGCCCTGTTGCAGCCATAACTTGGTCTTTATTTAAAAACATTTTAAATTTTGTAAAGAATCAAGTTACCCCTTAAGGGTTAAATCCCAAATCCCAAAGCCAACCAACACTGATTACCTGTGTCTGGCAAAAAGGTCTGTCAGTTTTGCAACTTTGAATTAAAGAGTCAAATGGATTTTTAGTGGCATTATAAACAAATCAAAACCAATTTATCTTAAACCTACAAAACAGGAGTTTTACAAACCAGGTGTGTTGGTTTAGGTTCTTAGAACCTCACATATTTCCACAGACAGATACATACACATTTTCTTTTCCTTAACATCCCTTTTACACTGCTTTGTTTTTACATAGCTGTATATAGATTACATTACCTTTATACATTTGTGGCAGTTAAGTTTCAATAGAACCCCCCCCCCTCCTTATGTTTTTTAGCAAATTTGACTAAATTGTTTATAGTCAAATGATTTTAATTAGACAGACATTCCTCTGGAAAAGGGCCCATTTTTCCTTTAGAATGGCTGCAAAGAAACCAAGAATTCTTTTAACAAGGTCCTTAACATTTTTACAAGGTTTAACTGCTTAATTCTTTCCAGCCTTTGTAGAGTTAACTTTTCACTCTCTTTCCTTAAATCACTTGTTTATCTCCCAAAATGACACCTTTATCAACTCAGATTTCACCATTTTAAGTATTGTTCCAGGGGTTCATGCTTGCACTTACTGCTTTTCTTACTCCTGACACTATGCCCTTAGGGCTTCCAACCTGTTTTTCAGTTTCTTTATCTGTTGCTTGCCTGCTTGTCTGGGTCCGATCCAGCTTTTTCCAATGAACCGTTTTTGTGAGTGATACTGTGGTCATTTCACAATTTTGAAAGAAATGTTTAAGGAAGGGGACCAGGAAGGGTGGGGACTAGTTGAGGAGCCCACCCTCCTTGCTGAATTGGTAGTGGAACACTAAAGAATCAGTTTCTGAGGCAGACAATGAAGGGGAACAGAACAAGGGGCTTTTTGTCCTTTTTACAATGAGATGGGAGTATGGAGGGGGTTGGGATCGATTTGGTTTTTTTTTGTTTGGTTGGTTTTTTCCGGAGAATGGGGTAAAGGGGAGCGCTCGATCTGGTGGTGGGAGAGGAGGCTTTTAACTTAGCTTTTAACTTATTATTTGAATATTTGAGAGAGGCGAGTTTTGATTTTGTCCACCTACGATTTGCCTCTTCCCACCACTGCATGAAACAATTAACCTCTCCTTTAGCCAATTTAGTTTTAGGTTGGCCGAGTTTGTCCTTTAAGACATCCACTAGGTCTTTGTTCCAAGATTTTAACAGTGGCCACTGAGTTTTGGGATTCCCCTGAGTTAGCCTAGACCATTTTTCCAGAAATTTACAGGAGTCTGGACCCTTCCTAAAATACATAAAATGAGCTGGCGTCCCTTTAGGGAACTGCCCCGACTTAGACGTCTGGTTACCCATACAGGAGGACTTTACACACACCAATCACACAAGAAGGAAATTCGAGTTTGTCAGAGCAATGCCTGGTGCAACACACAAAAGGAGCCCACAGGCTACTGCCTCAATCGCCCTTGCTTTCACACCAAGGGTTTTACCCAAGGCACGGTGCGGCTGCGATTGTGCAGATTTCACTCACTCAGACCGCGGGGACAGGAACCCCTTGGTCGGCCGATCCCCAGACAGAGATGGCACCCAGACTCAAACACTCCACAGGAGGACGGATAGAGACAGAGACAGGACAGTCCTCAGTCCGGACAAAACACAGAAATAACTACCTGACCAGATTCCTGATGTCAGATCCCGGGATCCCTACCAGAAG